CGCGAAAAAAACGTTTCCGCGAATTCCCGGGCAAACACCCAGCAATGCATCAACAACGTTTTCTGGTTGGGGTGGAAGGGTGGAGGTTTGTTAGCAACCCGGAAAGTGGGGCTAAGGAAAAAATCCCGCGAGGGAATGCAAGCCCATCGCATTTTCGTGGGAAGAAGGCGTGGCACCGTGGTTGACAAGCGGGGCGGAAAGAGAATTTCGTGAACACACTTCGTTCGCGCTTACACCCTGTGAATTTTGAGAGAGTGGGTGGCGATTTATATGAGATGCTGCCTCACTTTCCGTTATGATTTTAGAATACTATTTTCATCTTTATCTGTAACGGGGACCTCACACGGCCGATCACTGGTGTTTCGAGCTGAACGAGGGTGTGGTCCCCACTGCTGAGTCAGCGTGCTTCCCAGGAGCAGTTGAGGCCTCGTGTCCCTGGCAGGGGCCGAAGGGTCGGCCCTCCGAAATCACGCTAAGGGGTTGGCCGCGTGCCGCAGTGCCAGCCTGGGCCTGCTTCGCGTGCTGGGGGTACGACGCCGAAGGCATCGAGGTTCTTCAGGCCCCCGGCTTCGGGAGGAGAGGCCCAACTTCGGCCCGATTAGAGTGGAAGAGGGGGGGGGGGGAAGGAGTAGGAGCAGAGCAGGTGCTTGTCGAGAGGAAGGAACAACAAGAATCTAGAATTCGAATTCGAGCTGCGAAAGGGACGGATGCCAGCTCAGAACGAGAAAATTTCTGCCAGCGCAGAACGATAAATTTCAGCAAGCGCAGAACGATAAATTTCAGCCGGCGCAGAACGAGAACATTTCTGCCAGCGCAGAACGAGGGCATTCGGCAATGCCACCCAACGCCATCAAACTAGCTGGTACATCAGATACACTAGTTGCAAACGCCAAATCCGCTATTATTACGTGATTGAACACTTGAGTGAAGTTGTTGGTGAAAACATTGCATGTATTAAAATCACAAAAAGAGCATCAATGTCCAGATTCATAATTAAATAACACTAAGAAACAAAATTGAGGGAAACATCTATAGAAATTTATAATACGGAACTAGCCTGATCTGTTTTAAGTAAAAATGAAGAACTTAATGATTGCTTCTATCATAATACGATCATAATGTATCTAATACAAGGGATACAACTCTACGCAACCCTTCCGACGTAAACGTCGAGTCTTGTTTTGTATTTGTTTCGGGCTTTTAGTTCCGTTGTTTCTCCGCGTATGGTGCTGCTCTAGAATCAATGCTGTGTTCAACTAGCAATAATATTAGGTGAGTGTGCAACCATCCATAATTCGATGTGCTTTATAACCTGGATATCCGATATGGCTTTGTTCCCAACTCTTGACACTTTCAAGAGGCGTTTCAGGTCCATGGCTCTTGCATGTTGTGTTGTGTTGCATGTTAGGACCATCAACATGGGTTTTTTGTCTAGGCACGCTGACAACATGCACGACCACAGGCGGGCAATGACATCTGGTGTCGCGTGACTCGCGTCGCCACGACGACGACAAACTCTTGCCCCGCTCTGCCCGATGTAGCTCCCCTCCGCCTGCTGATCGCGCTGTCTTGTCCTACAAACTTTAGGGCGCGTGTCTTTTGGGGCCATGCTCAAACTTTTGCTCAAGCTTTTACTGGTTACGGGCTTCGTGAATGTCGTGAATTGGCTTCGCAGATGTCGTTAACAATTGATAGAATGTTGGACACAAACATGCACGTTGAGCAGAGCTCGAGCAAAAAGTTGATTGTTTGTGTGCGGGACTTGTCGAAAGTGTGCACATTTGACGCGTTCACTGTGAATGCGAAACCAGACGAAACGCCTGGAACGCTTCGCGGGCACACTCGAAGTATTCGCACTCATTCAGGCGTCGCCAGATGGCACGTAAAAAACATCGGGTAGCCTACGATTTCCAAGGTTCAAGTTTTACAGGCTCGAACTTCCCCCTCGAGCTTTTTCAGAGGAGCGTGACTGATGTGGGAGGAGGACACGCGCCCCGAGCTGTCATAGTTGAAATTATCGAGTACAGTCGAGCAGTGTTCACATTGATAAATTCGAGCTAGAAAACATGAACATTTCAAATTGGCCCCAATGACACGCGCCCTTAGTGTAGTCCGCATCTTGACAACCTGCACGATCTGTTTCCTTTCGTTCTGTTTTGGTTTCCGGTGGTAACTGGCACTGTGCAGCTCAGTTCTGTTCTGTCCGTCCACGAAGCACTGCAAGTGCAACCCAGCATCCAATTTGGTGGTTTGGACTTTGCTTTTTGGTCGTTTTGTTTTCGGTTTGGCGCGCAGCTCATTGCAGCTGCCTTCTTGGTTGGACGTGGAGGAACGATTTGATGTTTGGCGGTCAGACAAAGACAGGTCAGGGGCCCGAAGCGACACCTAACCAGGTTGTCGAGCCTCCCAAACCAAACTAGGTCTGGTTCGAGCATTCCCAAACCAACCCATCTCCTCCCCTCCCTCAACCAAAACTCCCCCCGTCTTCCTGACCTAAATCCCACTTACATTAAGGGGGTCAGACGCAGTTGTGGAACTTTCAACGTTTGTAACCAGCTGGGAAGTTTCTGGTAACCACAAAAACCTCGCCGTCCTTGTGTTTCGTGAGAAATGAGTTACTATAAAATACATTAAAACTCATTGTTTCGCTGGTTAAACTTTCGCACAGCGCCCTCGCCCATGAGTGTGTTCGTTTTCAGTAGCGTCTCAGTTTGCCCCTTACATCCTTGCGTGCACGACCTTCATTCAACCATCATCCTTCCTTCAAGCCACCTTATCTCGCTGCTTCCAAGCCATTTCTAGCATCACTAACACTCCCGACCAATGTGTCTTGTCAGGAGTTCTTTGCTCGGAGCCATGATATGCAGCAACCATGATATTTTTGGCCTTGGTTGTTTTCTATGCAGCTTTAGCTAAAATCGCCTCGAGGTGAAAGTTGGACCTTCAATCACCTTTTTCCGCTACCAAAATGCCGACTAATTCGATGCGGTCGGGATTAGTTGATGAAAAACTACATCGTCCCTGTAAGGAGAATGCGTCTTTTCCCAATGTTTCCAAGGATCTTGAGTCTCAGGGCTTGATGCCGGATGACGTTCATACGCCGCCTGTAAACAGCCGCCATAACAACACCATTTTCAGGAAATCAGGATTTGCAGGGCGTCCGGCTTTCTATCATCGAGTTACGCGCGTGTTGTTCGTCGTCACGATGATTGGATTCGCGGCGATGCTTTGCATTTTCTCCCCTCCGCCAAGTTTGCTCGGCACATCAAACTCTCGTCTCCCCAACGGCGGCTTCACTGGCGATTCCTCCCGCGCCGCGGCGCGGCGCGTTTCGGACGCCGCGTCGTTAAGAGAAGCAAGAACCGTCAATGTAGGCAGTGTGGAAGAATTTCAGACCGAAATCAGGGCTTTTAAAGATGAAGCTGCGTTCACAAGCGACATGGCTCGCGACGGCGGCTTGTGCATCGCCATTCCGTCCTCCCCGCGCGTTCCACGCCGCGACGCGCCGCCTCAAAGCTCCAAATATCAACCGTCGGATGATGATCGCACGGTGGACGAAGCAGCACACTCCGCGGATCGTGTGGTGGAGCTTTTGAAGGCGCTGGACGAACGGAGAGCGAAAGGGCATCTGAAAGTGGAGACAGTGAGAATCGTCGTGTACAGTGCCGGGTGTAACGTTGATAAACTTCCGTTCGACGGATTGGACGGAGCAGCTGGTAGCTCGGATGCGAGAATGGAGGGGAACGGCGGCAGAAGCGCAGCGGCGGAAAGAAAGTCTTCCTTCAGGACGTTGATTCGGCGAGGCCGGAGTGAGAAAAAAGAATTCAGAATACCGGATCACGTAGTGAGTGCGTACGCAAGGGAAGCCAATGTCACTGACAACTACGCCAGATCTCTCCTCGAAACCATTCATTCTTCCTCGTCCTTGGATTACCTGATCGAGCCGCACTCGCGTTCCATCCGCGAAGCTTCCGAAAATCTCAGCATCCCTGTCCACGTCATCACAGCGAATCAAGCGTCTTGTGACCTTCTGAACGATCCGGATCAGCTGCTCCGGACGGTGCCACGTCAGCATGTGGAAAAGGACGGGTGGCAGAAGTGGCGATGGCATGCCAAGCTGGCACTGGATTTCGTCCACGTCATGAGGGAATGCATGGCTACAAAGCCACGTCACATCCTGCTGTTACAAGATGACACGCTGCCTGTCAGAATGTGGGACCTTGGGATTGACAGATTCATCTCCAAAGATCTAAAAAACAAGCAGGACTGGGACCTGCTCTCTCTTTACCATCCAGCTTCCTATTTCTGGCCAATAATGCATGGCGACAAATACCTTGTTCCCTGCTGTGCCCAAGCTTTGCTCTTCAACTCAACTGCAGCTGCACCCATCGTTTCCTATGTGGAGGAGAACTGGTTTGCTGCACCGATGGATCTGCTGATCCATAAGTATTTGAAGGATAAACATCGCCAAGCATATGTACACCAGCCTTCCTTGTTTCAGCATAAGGGGGATGTCCGCAGTGGAGGCCAGGTTGCTATTGGATATCACATAGATACTGCATTTAGGGAGAATATCGTGGAGGAGAAACACTTCTTAGACAGTATGCCATTAGAAACATCTGAGGATGAAATGTTAACTATAGCATGATTTGGATAACTTGCTTTGTATGCCTGTAACATGTGAGAAATCAAAGCTTGACCATCCTATCTTACAGTCACTGTTCCAATGTGTGGTGAATCTCTTGTGCTGAGGTCGTACGGTATTTGCCGCTGTCTGTGTTCTTCCCGGATGAGTTTATTCAGCAGTTCAAAGTGCAGAGCATGATTGACCATGTGAGTGAGTGGGTGCGTGGGTAAGGTGAGAGGGTGTGTGAATGCGAGAGTGAATGGGTGAGCGAGTTGCAGAGTGAGTGAGTGGTTGTGAGTTATCACCTGGCAAGTGCATGAACTGGCAACTGGCAATGGAACGTAACATCGTAACATGGTATGCTTATTCCTGACTAGAGCTCGTCATGCTGCTCTGCAGGCAAAGGTGGAGCCGGCATAGTCAACTCTGGTGGTAACAATCCTTCTGGCTCTTCCGAAGGCGCCTCTGCAGGATCTGATTCTGTAGACTGTGACTGCAAGAGCGACGAGCACCCCTCCTCGAGCCGATCATAAACGTCATGCAGCAGCTGTTTCTTAGCGATACGGTACTGTAGCACCAGCTCCCGTTCCATGAGCGTTCGAACCACCTCTTCTGTGCACAGTTGCTCCACACCTTCTGCTCCATCCCTCCCTTCCTCCTCCTCCTTCTCCTCCCCTTCCCTGCCTTCTCCCACTTTCCCTCCCTTCACTCCATTGTCCTTCTCGATCTTCCCATCGACCCACCAGCATTTCTCCAACTGCTTCAGGCGTCGCCGATCCTCGTCGATAGGCGTGGACCAGTTCGCCAGGGCCTGCAGAACCTCTTCCCGAACCAGATCAGCTGCGGCGAGGAGGCTCGTGAGCTCGTGGTCGGTCAGGCCTATGGATTGGGCCATGTCAGCACACGTTCCGCTGTAGATGTGCCAGCCGAACCACACTGAGGCTTGGGCCAAACCAGCATAGTTGGGCTCTGAAAGAGATTGGTGGCAAAAACGAAGGTGGGGAAAGGAGTGCAAAGTGAATGCTAAAGAAAGGAAACATGCAGGGGATCATTGTCTTTTGGGCAATAGCAGGTTAAAGATTTGAAGAAAAACCAAGCAAGGCAGTAAATCATGTCACAAAGAATATAAACGATACCTTCTGTGCATGCAAATGCAAGCCATGCCACCTTTCTCGTATCCAAACGCGTGCCGTCCCCATTATCCAACACACAAGCCACGCACCTTCCCCGTAGCCAAACACGTGCCAGAGTGACGCCAGGAAGTGCAGCATGCGCGGGTCCACCTGCCCTCCTGCCCACACCGCATGCTCGCTGCCCTCCCCAAACATATCTGCCTTGGGTCCTGTTATCACCCCCACCTCCTCCTCCACCTTCTCCTTCGCTGCCCTCACATCCTCAGTCGTCCTCCTTAAAAGGTACTCCGACCACAGGTCAAACATGCCCTTTCTCCCCTCCTTTACAGTCACGTTCGCGTAGTGCTTGTAGTAAATTTCTGCGAGATCAGCTTCGGAGGCGGTGAGTTGGAACGAGTCGTGCGGGTTTTCGGACGGCACGAAGCCGTACGCTTGTAGGAACATGTCGGTGCTTTTTGTCCCGTAGCTGTTGTACAGCTGGCTGCCAGCTGGCAGGGCGGTGTAGCTGCGGACGACGATCGTGTCGGTCTGCTCGTCCGTCTGTTAGTGTGAGTGTGTGGAAAAGGTGTGCAAAGGGAGGGCAACGGGAGGGAAATGGTGTGAAAAGGGTGGGTTCACTGCCAAACGGGGATGACAGTATGAAACGGAAACGGAAAAAAGGGAACGAGGCGAGACTTTGTCACCCTCTGTAAGGGCGGTGAAAGCAAAATCATTCACCCACCTGCCAGCCCATGGTGTTGGCGGCGTGGTGGTCAAACAGCTCTGCCAAGGGGAACAGCGCCGTCACATACTGTGCCTCACTGGACCCCCCGCTGCTGCTGTCATTGCTGCTGGCACCGCTGCTGCAGCTCTTGCCACCATTGCTGCTGCTGCTACTGCTGCTGCTCCCGCTGTCATCGCTGCTATTACTGCTGTTATCTTTGCCGCTGTTACCGTAGCTGCAGTTGCTGCTGTTATTGCTTCCAATGCTGCTGGCTGTTTTGCTGAAGGCACGGGAGGAGACGACAGCCACGGCCCACATGAACTCCTCCTGGCTCGCATTGCTGATAGCCGCTTTGTCACACCGCTCGTACTCCGACTTGAAGGTCTCCCGGTAGGAGAAGGCCTGGGGAGAAAGAGGAGAGGGGCACATACTCAACAAATCGCCTGCAACGGCACATACTCAATAGTAATAGCACATACACACCGCATTCAACCACTCGCTCACGCACTCACTCGTTCAGTCACTCACTCACATGGTCGATCATGCTTTGCAGTTCGAACTCCTGAATCAGATCGTCCGGAAAAAACACCGGCAGCGGCACGTACTCAGGCAGCGACCGCACATAAACGCCCCATTGCGACCCCTCACCGCTCTCCACCTTCCTCTTCTCCCTCAGAATCCACGCCGCTAGGATGGAAAATGCCGTCCAGCCGGAAAGAGGCGAGACGTCGGGGGTGAGGGAATATGGGTAGGGGAGGGTGATGGGTTGTTCCGGGGATATGAAGGCGGAGGGGGGAAGGGAGAAGAGCGGCTCGCCTTCGACCAGATCGCGCGCTGCTACCACGGATAGACCGCGTCTGGGGGTAGGGGAAAGTGAGTACGTGAGAAAGCGGCCTGTCATCGAGATTTCGCTTTGATACGTCTCAGAACGCTGTTGCTACGGAGATATGACGCGAGCACGAGGAGTTGGAAGAAGGGGCGTGTGTGAGCAAGGGGTTGGTCTCACCTTGTACGCGACAACCCGCGGTTTCCTCGTGGCTTCCCCACCACGATCTGGCGCCGGGACACGGGTAGGCGACGTTCCGAGATTGGGAAAGGAAGAAAGGTGTGTCGTTGAGAAGAAAAGAAAGATTGAGAGAAATAATGCACAGACGTGAGAGAATACGTTCGGGGAACCAAATACATTACACTACCTGTAACGGGGAAACTGGAGTCAGCCCTGTGACGCCTCGTTCCACCAGCCAGTCCATCATGACAGAAGCAATGTGCTCCTCCGTCAAGGGTCCGTCAGAATGGACGGAATCTGTCCTACTTGACTCTGTTCCGTCAGCATTGGACTGGAGCGGTGCGATCAGCAGCAATGCAAGCAGGAACTTCACGTATATCATCGTGAATGCGGAAAATCCGACAATGCTTCGGGAGACACTAAATCAATGACGAAACGTCCGCTTGAAACAAAAGGCAGTCAGACAAACGCGGTGTCGTCAGAGCAAAACTTTCCAACAAAAGCTGGTATAATCATCACACCAGAGTGTTCCTTGGGTTCAGTGAATCATTTGCCTGACAAATAAGTAGTATTCTTGCCTGACAAATCAGTAATAGCCTTGCCTGACAGATCAGTAGTAGTCTTGCCTGATAAATCAGTAATAGACTTGTCTAAAACATCAGTAATAGTCTTGCCTGACAGATCAGTAGTAGTCTTGCCTGACAAAAAGTAATGGTCTTGCCTGACAAATCAATAGTAGTCTTGCCTGACAAATAAGTGATGGTCTTGCCTGACAAATCAGTAGTAGTCTAGCCTGACAAACGAGTAATGGTCATGCCTGACAGATCGGTTCTAGTCTTGGCCTGACAAATCGGTACAATCTTGTACCAGTCTTGCGTGAAATGATCTTCGCGGAGCGACAGGCGGATTTCCCAATCGGGTGCGGGAGGTGGCAGATCTCCAAAATGCTGGGCGCTCGGTTCATATCGCGTTACATAAGCACAGTGGCAATGTTTCTAACTAGTAGTTATGGCTTATGCGCGCAAATATTTTCGAATGTGCTTGTCATTTTAGTTGTACTTTAAAATGCATTTATGTAAATTCTATCTACTCTAATTCATTGAGAATCAAGACAGCTACGTTATAAAATCTTTGTATTAATAAGTGAACCGTGGAAAGAAATCATATAATTTTAGCATGATTCACACATTATGCTGCAGAAATTTATGATAGTATGATCTTGGATACAGAAGTGGTCGAAAAGCAGATGGTGTGAAACGATTATATATCGTCGTACGGTACAAGGTTCATGTAGAAAGCAGATAATGTACCGAATGTAGCCGAAATGAAGGAGTGGGGAACGCTGATATTGGAGACGAAGCTGGTTGTGTTTTGGCTGCCTGACCTGCAAGCATCTCTTCCTTTGGGGGGTGACTGGCACTCACTCGCTGGCATAGATAGTTCTACGATTCCCTGTGAGGGTTCAGAGCGTTGTCTTGGCGAGGCCGTCCGTTCGACGTCGAACCCTAGACCAGTGTAAAACCAGTGCTTCAAAACATTGCTGCGGATAGAAGTGGTGGCTGTCGTTGTCGTCTTGATGCGCCATGGCAAATCGAACGGATCCAAGGGCGCGAACGGTTCACGGCACGAACCCGCAGAATCTGGTGGAGAAAATTCTGCGCGCTAAGATTTATCAGAACATTTATTGGAAGGAGCAATGCTTCGGCCTCACAGGTCCGTGCTTTCGACTTCGGAATAGTTTGTGTTTTCTGTTGTGTTTTTGTTTTTTCTTTTCCTTATTGCGTCGCCTTGACTACGTTCTCTCAAATAGTGATATTCAAGTTCTTATACGTCGCAAAATCTGCACTGGACTGAAGTTTCTTTAGTGATGTTCCGCCACTTTGAACCGCTAGCTTGCACGTGTTGATCCGTATCCGCTCCTCCCTCTTTCTCCCTCTCCCCACTCTCCTCCCCCTCCCCTCCACTCCCCCCTTATCGCTATTTTTCGCCTTTTCGCATTGACGTACAGCTTTATATGTGTTTCTTCTCCCCTATTTTCCGCTTGAGTCAGTTGCATTTTTCGGGTGAATGCCGTTTTCCGATTTCCCTGTTTTCGTCCCAGTCCATGCCAGCCCTGTATTCGTCCCAATTCTTGCTAGCACTTAATTCTCTGTAGTTTGCTACTAATGTTTTCTTTTCAATCTCCCGTCGTCCCCATTTCTCTTCGCGGCAGTTGAAACCCTGGTCGACAAAGCCATGGATCTGGACCATTTTGTAGGGAGCTATCTGTGCTTTTTCTCCCGTAATGAAGTTCTGTGAATCTTCTTTATTTGTTTGCATACTTCCTCTGTTCTCTTCGTGGCAGCTGAAACCCTGGTCGACAAAGCTATGGATCTGGACCATTTCGGAGGAACCTATGGCGGAAATCGCAAGCCTACCCCGTTCATGTGCCTCATTCTCAAGATGCTTCAGATTCAACCAGAGAAGGAGATCGTGGTCGAGTTTATAAAGAACTCGGATTACAAGTGAGTGTGATGTGTCGTCGTGATCCCTGAACAGTCAACCGTGCCTGGGTCTCATGATTCTTCAGATTCAACCAGAGAAGGAAATCGCGGTGGAGTTTATACAGAACTCGGATTACAAGTGGGTGTGATGTGTTGTGATATATGAACAGTCAAATCTGCCTGGGATCTGTAAGTAAGCTTTAACCAGGAAGGAGATCGTGGTGGAGTTTATAAAGAATTCAGATTACAAGTCAATACTGGTTGCTTGATTTCTCAACGGTCAAATTTTCCTGCCTCTCAGGTTTTTCAGGTTGAAACGGAATAGGGGATTCTGGTTGAGCTCATAAGGAAACAACGACGTTTTATTATTGGCTCTTCAAATCCGTAGTTAATAAGTAGGAATGTTGCAACCTACATCGTTTCAAACCCTTCCCCCCTCCCTTCCTTCCCGCCTCCACAACCCCCTTCCCCAAATACCCCCGTCTACCTGCGACTGGTGGGGAAGCCCATGCAGGTGTACCAGCACCTGGAACCACTCATACTCACCCTTCCTTTCGCCCTGCTTTCTGTCACGCGTCCCCCTTCCCTCCCCCCTTACTCGGCAGGTACGTGCGGTTGCTTGGAGCTTTTTACCTGCGGCTGGTGGGCAAGCCCATGGACGTGTATCAGTACCTGGACCTACTCTCTCCACCACCCAAATCTCGTGCACGCGTTTCCCACTCCGTTCTGCCATGAACCCCCGTCCTGTCTCTGCAGGTACGTGCGCCTGCTGGGGGCGTTCTACCTGCGGCTGGTGGGCAAGCCCATGGACGTGTATCAGTACCTGGAACCGCTGTACAACGACTACCGCAAAGTGCGCAGGAAACTGGAGAGCGGAAGTGAGTCTTTGTTCTTGCCTATTGTTATTGTTGCAAAGTCTTGGTGTCTAGGTTTTCAAATTCTCCAGTCAGGACGGAAAGCCCATGGACGTGTACCTGAGTTTTGCGCCCCTTCACTCGTTCCCTCCCACCCTCCACCCAACTCTTTCCCCGCTCCGCCCCTCTCCCCCCTCCGTGCACCTCCAGTGTTTGTATTATCCCATGTTGACGAGTTCATCGAGGAGCTTCTCACACTGGACTCTAGTTGCAGCATCGCCTCACCTCTTCCCTCTCCCATTAGCCCTCACTCGTCCCCTCTCCCCCCCCCCCCCCCCCACACTACCCCACATCTCCAGTGTTTGTGTTGTCACACGTGGACGAGTTCATAGAGGAGCTTCTCACGCTCGACTCCAGCTGCGACATTGCCTTGCCTCGCATACCTCGCAGGTAAACTGCTTGTGTGGTCTGTAATTTGTATTCTAGAACCGAATGCACTGGTCGTGTATGCACTGGTTGTGTACTGCAGGCTCCCAGCAATGTCACCATTTGGTGTTCGTGGTATCTGCTCTTTGCTTGGGTTTTGAACCGTTTGCTCTTTTGTATATTATGTAAGCATTATGTACTTGGACTTGCTGCATTTCAGCATCTGATCTTTGTTGTGTTCGTGCTTTTACAGATGGACGTTGGAAGCAGCAGGGCAGTTGGAGTTGAGGAAGAGTGGGTTGGATTACGATGAGATGGAGGAGGAAGAAGAAGAGGAGGAGGAGCCAGAACCAGCTGCTGACAAGGTATGACCTGGTCCTCTTGCGCTCTGGTTGAATGCATGAGACGTTAGAAAGAGTGGGTTGGATTATGACGAGATGGAGGAGGAGGAGGAAGAGGAGGAGGAGGAGCCAGCACCAGCTGCTGATAAGGTATGAATGAATGACCTGATAAGGTATGACCTGATAGGGTTAGCAGCAGGGCAGTTAAAGTTGAAAAAGAGTGGGTTGAATTGCGACGAGATGGAGGAGGAAGAGGGAGATGAGGAGGAGCCAGAGCCAGTTGCTGATAAGGTATGACGAGATAAGATATGACCTGATAAGATATGATCTGATAAGATGTGACCTGATAAGATGTGACCTGATAAGATATGAACTGATAAGATATGATCTGATAAGATGTGACCTGATAAGATATGATCTGATAAGATGTGACCTGATAAGGTATGCATGACCTGATAAGGTATGAATGACCTGATAAGGTATAAATGACCTAGGGATGAGCAAAAAAACGAACACCTGTTCGGTTCGCCTCGAACGTGTTCGAGGCGAACCGAACAGGTTAATTTTTTTGGCTTAAATCGTTCGCCGAACAGTGTTCGATGTTCGCCCGAACACGTTCGTGTTCGGGCCGCTGCTGCAATTTGCCCCTAGACGAACACGAACGTGTTCGAGGTTCGCCCGAACACGCCTTCATAGGCGAACGGCGAACACCTGTTTTTGCTTAAGGTGTTCGCCGAACCGAACAGTGTTCGGTTCGCCGAACAGGGGTGTTCGTGCATGGGCGAACGCGAACACGTTCGTGTTCGCCCCTTGCTCATCCCTAAAATGACCTGATAAGGTATGAATGACCTGATAAGGTATGAATGACTTGATAAGGTATGCATGATCTGATAAGGTATGAATGACCTGATAAGGTATGAATGACCTGATAAGGTATGAATGACCTGATAAGGTATGAATGACCTGATAAGGTATGAATGACCTGTTAAGGTATGAAAGACCTGATAAGGTATGAATGACCTGATAAGGTATGAATGACCTGATAAGGTATGAATGACCTGATAAGGTATGAATGACCTGATAAGGTATGAATGACCTGATAAGGTATGAATGACCTGATAAGGTATGAATGACCTGATAAGGTATGAATGACCTGATAAGGTATGAGTTGATGAAGTTAGACCCGGTCCATTTCTTCTCTGGTTGGATGCGCTGATGAATGAGTGCAATTGTGTCTGTATTTATTCATCCATTCCAAGTTTCATTTATTTCTTTCCCTTTACAAACCCTGTTCTTTTCACAATGATCCCATCTTTGCCTCCACATCCATTCCAAGTTTCATTTCTTTCTTTCCCTTTTCAAACCCTGTTCTTTTCACAATGATCCCATCTTTGCCTCATACACGTGTTTCCAGGTGGAGGAGAAAGATCGGTATCGGGACAAAGGGGGGGACCGAGACAGGGACAGGGACAAAGAAAGAGATAGGGATAGGGACAGAGACAGGGACAGGGATCGAGACTATTCCAGGTATGTGCCTCTGGATTCAGTATCTCACTGTACTTGTTTAACTAATTTCAGGGTGTTGTTTTTGTTGTTATTTTCGTTCATCTGAGCAATGTTTGGTAGCTCTTGCAAAGTGTCCATAATTTTATGCTGTTTAGTTCGCGCAACTTATTCTGATAGGGAGAACAGCCGGCTGGGCGTCTTCTAGAAGCATCCCCTTGGGAAGCTTCCTGAAGCATGCCACAGCTGTGCTTGCAAGGCGGCAAGAGCTCATCTTTTTTTAGGCAGTCCTGTAACTTCATTAGTCGTTGCAAGCCTGCCTTTCCCAGATGGCCCACTCTCTCTTGCCCCCTCATTCTTGCATGGATGGGGGTTGCCTTGATGTCATATGTTCTCCCGAGAACGAACCGATGTTTGTACTCCTTATGGAGTTCTTCGGAGCTCCTTGAGTGTGCATTCATGGATATCAGTGCTTCCAGGTTTCCCAGTGCTGGCAGTGCTCTGAGAGAAGTATAAAGTGCTGAACATTATTGAGAGAATTTTATGGGGTGGTATTTTCATGGAGTGGTTCAGAGATGAATAGAGATGAATTGAATAGTGTGAGGTGCGTTTAAGGTCGGGTCTCCATACCAGCAATGTCTCTCTTTTTGTTGCCTCTTTGCTTCCACCTTTGCAGGGACCGGGATCGAGACAGGGACAGAGACAGAGGCAGGGAGCGAGACAGAGACAAGGATAGGGATAGAGACAGGGACAGGGACAGGGACAGGGACAGGGACAGGGACAGGGACAGGGACAGGGATAGGGACCGAGACAGGGAGAGGGACAGGGACAGGGATAGGGACAGAGATTGGGCAAGAGACAGGGGTAGAGAGAGAGACAGAGACAGGGACAGGGATAGGGACGGGGGAAGAGACAGGAGCAGGGAAAGAGATAGGGGTAGGGACAGGGAGAGAGACCGAGATGGGGACAGGGACAGGGAGCGGGAGCGGGATAGAGACAGGGACAGGGATGGTGATTCGAGGAAACGTGATCGACGAGACGAGACAGCTGATGGGACCAAGTAAGTTTGCCTTGCAGAGTGGTTTTATTTTTTGCATAGGCAAATTACTATGCTGCACGAGCATACATTTGTTGGTATATTGTTGTTTTTGCTCATGCTTTTTTTGGTTCTAATTGTGGCAGGGAGAAGAAGAGCAAGAAGGATAAGGAGAAGGCAGCGGATGGGACCGATCATGAGGATCCTGAGATTGCGGAAGCCAACAAGCTTCGTGCGAAACTTGGGTTGAAGCCACTTCGTGCTTGATTTTTAGGGGAACTAGGTCATTTCTCGAACTTTCGTGAAGATTGTGAGAACTTTAGTCCTGTGCATTCAATTTAGCACAAGATGTAATGAAACTTCATCATCTAATTACTGCTGCATGTAGAATCATGTTTGAATATTTACTTTCTCCTGTAGAGAAGATTTTACGCGGTAAGAGATTGTCGAGTCATTTCCCTGCCTGTTGCTGCTTCGTAGGGATGCGCAGCGCTTCCCCAAACCCACGAGATTTGATGCATAGAGGCCCCCTAGGAGGTCGTGTTACCATTCAGATTCACACAGATGCCATTACCTCACACAGATTCAGTGGACGAACAGACAATATCATCGTCTCTAGTTTGGGACGCTTCCGAGCGTTGTGAGGCAAAATGTCGTTAACGAACCTACCACCTTCTCTGAACGATATTTCGAACCAGCTTAGTAGAAGCTTCACCCAGTTGAAGTGAGTGGGTTGAATAATTGAATAAGAAAGAACGTTCAGAACCTTTGCAGAGCTTGACACCAATTATCTGTTACAGGACTACCTTTTCAAAGATTGACAAGTGCGAAGACCCTTCTCGACAAAGCCAGTTGCTGGAAGATGTCACTCCTAAACTTAGAGAGTGCAGAAGGTGGATATGAAATTTCTGCTTGTGGCGTCGAAGTTGCATCACTGAGCAAACGGATCTTGTTTCAGGTTGATTCAGGAATTCGAGCGCGACATGAAAGACCAAGAAGCAAAGAACTCACCGGAAGTGAACAAATTGCTGCAGGAGAAGAAAAGGACCCTTGTGAAAGATCTGAATGCCTTCGTCACTCTCAAAAAAACGTTCGTACATTTTGTTATTATTCTTGTCAATACCCTTCGTCTGACCATGATGCTGTTTTGCAGTTACCAGAGCGCTATTCAGGAAGGCCAGAAGGTGAAGCTAAGCGAAGACGGAAGAACAGCTGAAGTTGTGGGAGCTCCCCGGCTAGCATCTGGTAAGACTTCCTTCTTGTTGACGCATGATGCTACATTTGACGCCGCAACTGTATAGAGCGTTCATTCCTGGTTCCCTGCAGCGATGACGAATGCTCAGCTAATGGAGGAGGGAAATCGTGTCATGGGACAAATGGACCAATCTGTTTTAAGATCCAAGCAGGTTCTTTCTTGATACAAACCCCTTCCTTGTCGAAGCCGATGCATGTGTTCCTGATGTTCTTTTCGTATTTCAGGTAGTTGAGAACACTATCAACATTGGGGCAGCAACAGCTACGACTTTGAAAGGACAGGTATGGCACTGAAGATTCTGCCTTGTAGGTGCTAAGTTCTTACTCATGTGTGACGGTTGCAGACCGAACAAATGGAGCGAATTGTTGATAAGCTTGACAATTTAGAGTTCTCCCTCAAGCGTACAACCAAGCTTGTGAAGGCATTGGGCCGACAGGTGAGTAAAATGCTAGTGATCGCTTTTTTCTTCACGCCATACAACCTGCATAACACAACCACCGGAGCAGATGGCAACTGATAAATGCATCTTGGCAATGCTGGCGCTTGTTATTCTTGGAGTGATTGCCATCATCATTGTCAAGGTAAGTTGGCCCTGTAACTTTCCCTGGCATCTTCTTGCCTTGACTAATGATTTCCAATTGGATACAGATTGTGGACCCACATAACAAGAAGTTAAGTGACTTTGGTCCCCGAGCTCCTTCCACTTCAAACTGAGTGATAGTCTTACAATGTTGTTTAACTGTTATGTCATCATTGAGCAGAAAGCAACGTCACTAGAATACAAACAACGGATGCAACCATTTCCCATTAACAACCCCTACCTTCATGCCATCCACAATATGTAGCTACTCCATAGATTTTCCCTCATCTCATCACCCCCTTGGACGCCACCTCACAAGCAGTCACATTTACAGAAAATGATCGGATAGAACGACTACAAAGCATAGTAAAGTGTCTCTTGCTGCCCATTCACAGTCAGGGTGAAGGTTGCTGCCAGGTTATCACCCGACATGGTAGCTCCCACCAGCGCAGCCATAAACTTCTGCAGTCCCAATACACCGGGTGTGGTAGCAGCTCCCGCGGGGATATTCACGTCGACAGTCTTGGAGCAAGTGAACACGCCCTTGACGTTCGAGGCAAAGGGACATGCGAGGGCGAGAGGGGCCGACTTGTCAGCTCCGACCTGACCCGCCAGGGAGACCTTTGAGTTGGTGTTTACGCCCTTGGTGAAGACCAGGTGCACCTCGAGAGTAACCTTGCTGTCGCTGCAAACCGGGGAGGCAGAGATGGGGGCAAAGAGGCGGGGCAGAGAGTGGGGGCAGAGAGGTGGGGCAGAGAGTGGGGGCAGAGAGGTGGGGCAGAGAGGGGGGACAGAGAGGGGCAGCAGGACACAACAGGTACAGCAGATGACGGAAGAGCACAAGATGTGTTGAGTGTAACCTCAGATGAACACCTGGCGAACCTCTAGGGTGATTTTGACGTCCTGCATTATTATTTACTTGTAATGGGCTCAAATATAGTTTGGGAACTTGTTATTAGTCTTCCTCTCTTAACTGCCCCATCATCCCTTCCAAACCCCTCAGATGCAGCCTCTCTTGGCTTGGCTCTCGCTGTTTCCACTCTCATTGCTGCCTGAAATTACGAACTCACGTGCTGCTGGCGATGCGAATCTTGGCCCCTCCTACCACGGCGCCAGAGAACATGGCTTGGAACCGACCGCCTGCCATGGATGGCAGCACTGCGAGGCCTGGCGCGCGATGGGGGCCGCATGGAGGGGCGGAATGGAAGGGGGAAGCAAGTGGAAGGGTTCATTAGGGGGATTGCAACGGGAGGAATGCAATCTTAATTCACTGAGCCCGTCACAGCGGAGCATAACTCGTCCTGTCATGAGTCATCAAAACAAATGGATGGTAGAAGAATCGTTCTTCTGTGTGACACAGCCTGTGTTGCCACATTCAGAACGAGAGCATCCGTGCGTACCAGTATCAAGAGCTCCGATCTTCGCCAGCGACCCCGACGCGGTCACCGCGTTGCCGTTCACATCCGCATGCGACACCACGGCTTTGACGCCAGTCAAAAAGCTCCCCACGTCATTGGTCGCCCAGTCGAGGCTCCTGATCAAATCCCACACTCCCGGAGCCACCAGCTTCCACTGACTGGCGTCCGATGCCAGAGACGTGCCATCGAGTGAGACGTCCGTTGGCGGTTCGACGCATCCCGTCATGATCACGCGGAGGACAACGGGGTACGCATCCGTGCTGCGGCGACCGAAGCGCGAGAGAGCAGGGAGGGGAAGAAGGGGGGGTTATGAGAAACAACGGGGCACGTCAGCAGCAACCAGTTGGAAGGGGGTATATGAAGCATGCAACATGTCATGATGCTGACGGCCACGGGAAAAGCGGACTTACTCGGCAGGCATTCGCACAATCACGGTCCCCTGCGATTCGAACGATGACACCACCACAGCACTGTAGAAGGCTGCAAAGAGTCGAGTGGGAACGGGAGAACGAGCGGGTTAGCTGTTGAGACCTCGCTGGACTCCGAAACGGTTATCGCGACATCAGTGGAATGTGGGATGACAGAAGCTTGCGAGGTATTGTAAGGAAATTGGGAGAAAGAACCCAACGGCTCATGCTTGTCGTTTACGTTTCAAGGGCGGTAGCTGCAGATCATGTCTATCTAAGGTTTGGAATTTTGGTGAGAAGGTAACGCAAACTGACCGTGACGCTGTCAAAACGCTAACACGCGTGGTATTACATGATTTTGAAGAGGTTTTCGGAACAAATTTCTTGATATCCGCGTCAGTGACCTCGAACGCCGCTGAAGTCATGGTGATAGGCGCCGCGCAGAGGAGAAGCACGAGTCCTGCGCGAATCAAGGCGAATTGTATCGTGTATGGGTTTTTTTTAGCGTGAATCACCGTAATTGCTGCTGCGTTGCACCAAAGTACAAATCTCAAAGCTTTTGTTTCTGTCGGCAATGTTGGGGCCATCCAAATTTTCGCCTTTAAATTTTCTTACCTGGTAGGCACATGAGGCAGGATACGAGCCAGTGCGGAAATGGGAGGCGGGCCATGACGAGACTTTTTTAGTCTAATGCCGCGAAAGGAGAATAGAGGTGGCAAGAATTAGCAGAAGCTCGGTCTGTTCTGGAAGAAAACTGGCTAGCAGTGAGATTAGTACAAGGGCAATCGGTATTGCTGGTGTGAAGTGGAATGCGTGATGTGAACTGATGAATACGCTGGAAAGGCGATCAAGTTATGTAGTGTCGCACCTGTGAAAGAACAGACCACCACTAAAGTGATGAATTAGTTTGGTTAAGGAATATACGGAGGCTTATCGAGGTTTGTTGTGCGGTGCAGAAGGTTGACGATGGATAGAGCTGGGGGGAGGAAGGGAATGGGGGAGGGTGGGGCGATGGGATTGGATGAGGTTGGAGATTCAATCACTGCATTATTGGGTGTCCGAAGCGCGGCGTTTGAAAATCACGTCACGCATCGGCAGGGAAAAACGACGCTCCTGAAATACTGCAATGAATCGTAGAAAATTGTTCCAAATCACACATATACCACTCAATAACGGTCAGCTCTGCCCGCCGTTCTTGGGCAGCAATTATGCAGCTTCTGTTGTTTCCGTGTTACCCTGAGTAAAGCTGTCACCTCTAATGGGAAATTCCATGTGTTGTCGTCAGCATTCGCCAATTCGTGCATAGACGCCGCGATAAGGTCCTCGTGCCATTTCAGCGAAAAACATCGAACTTGCTGTCGCTAACCATTTCCTGTCTGGTCAGCCAGAACCTTTCTGAGGCTCAATAACAGACTCAAAACAAACTGTCTGCTGTTGACGGGGCCTGACGTTCCCCGTCAGATGAGAACGGAATTATTGGTGCCTTCCGTCGGCTTTATTGTTCTTCCCATCCAGGCCTGTCGATTCACGAACATCTGTCCGTCTCCCCTGAGAATTCAGGGCTAGTTTAAGCTCAATCAGAAATGATCAGGATTTGTTTCCCCCCTGGCCAAGATTCCTAACAGACGGCATGGGTAAATTTTCCAGTCGTATCTAAACAGTCATTCTGCAACCAGCTGATCCGAAGATAGTTTGTGAAGTGGAGAGTGGAAAAGGTGGAAATCCATGGAAGTGGGAAATCTCTGAGAGAGGCTAAAACACAAGCAGAAAAAACATTAAAGAGTGAGGAAAAGTTTTTCGGATGTTCGACTAAAATTGTCACTGAAATACCTCGTTAGAGCTCAGTTCTCGTCAGTAGAACCTTCGTATAGCGGAGTCATTCACAATATTACCTGTTACGTACTTGTACCCGTTAAATTACACCCTTTTTTAAATATAGTCCACCGTCATTAAGCAACCACCGGGCCTGATCCACGAATCTGTGAAATCTGTTTGTGAACCACAAATACGTCACTAAAGTGTGGGCAATCCCTGGGAGTGTAAAATCATTAGTAGAAACATTTTGAAGGGTGTGGAAGTTTTTTTCGGATGTTCGGTAAACACCGTCATAGAAATACCTCGTTATAACTCAGTTCTCGTCCGTAGTACCTTCGTATAGCAGAACCATTTAGATTTGTACACGTCATATGCCTATGCCCGTTAAATTAAACCTCATTCAAAAGAATAGCCCATCGACATCATGGTGTCTGTCTATGATTCCACAACCATGTTTGAGGGTGCGTTCCTGGCCGTTTCAAACTTCCGGTGTTCCCGGGATGACACGAAGCTCGCCTCAGAGCTCGCCCCACTTCGGGTCTTCCCTAAAAAATTTGCCCCTGGCTCGGAAAACACGAAGTTTGGCCGGAAGTTTGACACGCGCCAGGAATGGACCCTGATCCACGAATATGTGAAATTCGTTTGTTTAGGGCTTGATCGGGCTGCTTTCCCGATATTTCAGGGATCGTTTCAGGCCAGCTCAACCGCGTAAGGGCGGATTCCTGGCTTTAGGACTTCCGCACTTCGGGACTTCCGATTTATTTTTTCCCGGACCGCGGGATTTCCGATTCGACTTCGGGTCTTCCGATTCGGGAACCCACGATGGTCGCAAGTGCATCCAGCGAAGGGTAAGCGAAATCAAGTTTTCCCTCAACGATGACTCAGGTTGGGAACGCGCGATCAGTTGGGATCGCCTGTCAAATGACCGTCAATTTCTTCACGGAATTGACGTGGATGCACTCCCGTGGAACACGTTCGAGACACACAACTCGACATTGACTGTTGACTGTCAATGTTGTGGAAGTGTGGCCGTTCGTGAAGGCGGGAGTTGAAGTCGCACGTTGTCAAGTTCAAACATCAGGTGGCCAATGAACAGCAGGACGTGGGTGAAAAGATGTGGTAACTCTCGTGAAGTCAGACCAAAAAAATCGCATGGGAAATGTGATCGTTGACACGAGCTGCAGTGTTAAAGCTCGGGTCATCACACATGTTCGGAAGGCCCAAACACCGGAAGTCCCGAAGCTGGGAATACGCCCTAAAAGTTGGCTTCTGACCTAGCAACAGCCCTGTTCCCATCCCCCCCCCTCTCTCCTCTCCTCCCCCCCCCCTCCCCTCCTCTCCTCAACTTCCTCAACTTCAGTCAGGCTTCCGTCATTCCAGAACGCAGGCTGAGCCCAGCCAGTTTTCTACCAAGTAGGTTCCATCGGCGCAGCTAAGACGCGAACGTCCCTTATTGATTGGATATAAAACGAGCTTCTTTGTTCCTTGAATCACGGGATGCACGATGCCTCTGTTATTTTACAACTCGAATGGAACGCGATCATCTGCATTATCGTTGATCCGTTGGACCCCTGGCCGAATGGTTGACGGTCCGGCAATGACGGTCCGGATTTCGCGCTTACCTCACACGAACCAGCTCAGCGCTGCGCGTTCACTTCCACCCTTGGACGCTAACATTTTCTTCTGCGAACTGTTTATTACCACCGTCAGAGTCCCATATCTTCTCACCATCAGCTCTTTTCTTACCAAATCATCTCATTACCAAGAGCTCCTCCTTTTGAGACCGCAAAAGACGTAAGTAGAGTCTTTTGAGACCGCGAGCTTCTTTCACATAAGTAGTATCGCTGTCTAGGGTTTCTCGGCGACTCAGAAACACCCGCGATGGCTTTTCCCCGTGTTCTCACGTGCCTCCTCATCATCGCCGGTACGGTTTTCATCCAAACATGCCTCCTTCAATCGCTCAACTAATCTACTCTCTTCGTTCATTTCATTTCTCTTCCGGAATCTATGCTTTATTTACTTTTTCTTCAGATTGTTAAGATTGTTCCAATTGCATCTCTTCGTGGTTTTTCGCAGGCGTGCTGCTCTCCTCGTCACTTCCCGGTGCAGAGGCGGTGAGCGAGGCGGCCAAGCAGCGCGCCGCGAAAGCGGGCCTCACATTCGTCAAAGCCGTCCTCACGATGCTCTTCCCGCCGCCCACGCCCGCCGCCAGTAAGCGCACCCCCCCCCCCCCCCCAATGCCTGCTCCGCCCCTTCCCCTCCCCCCCCCCCCCCCCCCCCCCCCCCCACCCACCTCTCTTCCTGCCTCGCATTCGTCAAAGCCGTCCTCACGACGCTCTTCCCGCCGCCTACGCCTGCAGCCAGTCAGTGCCTCCATCCCTTCTTTATCGCTCTCCTCGCTCCTTTGCTCTGCACCTTGCTCTCCTGGCTTGCTGAAGTTGTAATTCTTTTGTGCAGTCTAAATTTTGTGGTAATCTCTCGTGATGATTCCTTTAACGTGGAAACATAGCCGTATCGTTGTCTCAGCTATCGTAATCAATGACTCGAGATGGCTCTCCATCATTCCACCCATCCCTCGTCCTTTCGCTTCCTCACCATCCCTTATTCCCCGTCGGATGATCCACATGCAGAATTCTACAGCGCGGACTTTTCAGATTTGAACGTGGCAGGGACGTTCAGCATCGCTGTCCCCTCCAAGTAAGAAATCTGCAGTCATGATTCGCAGTCGGTTTTGTGGTCATTAATCCATTTCGAGTATTTCACGTTTTTCAATGTCATCCGACCCGTTTGCCAATTCCCCATTTCCTCCTCCCTCAAAAACCTTCTTTCGCGCTTGTTTCTCTCGTCGGTCCTCATTTGTCCGTTCCCTGCTTCCCCCATACCCAACCTTGCCAGGGCTGCAACAAAGCCGTCGCAGTTCCGCCTGACCGCTGCAGGCTCGCCCTATCCGCCGGAAGAAGTGACCCTGAACGCGAGAACTCCCGTCGTGCTGGGCTCGCTCGGAAAGAACTTGCAGTGCTCGCAAGTCGCGCCGAGCGTGTGGGACTGCTTCGGCCAGACCAAACTGACCCAGGCCGATATCAACAACATTGGATTCACAGCTGGCTCGGGGGTTCGCGTGAATTCGTATGCGCTGAGCCTGACGTACAGAGACGCGAGCAACATGGGCCTGATGGTTGACTCGAATGCGAATCTCGCGGTAGCCAAAGCGAACTCGAAAATGGAGCAAGTGTTTGGTACGTTGCATGGCTTGGTAACTCGGTTTGTGTGTTTCTGTTTCCTTAGCTGTCGTGCATTGTGACTGACAACCCGTGATTGCCCAGTTCACCTCTTTTGCTCCCATGAATTGATTTTCAAAATGAGCAGTCAACCAACTCTTTTGAACTCGATGTTGCTGCAGGCAAAACCGATCTGCTGGCTGGGGTTGCTGCTGGAAGATTCCAGACAGCGATCAACGGGGATCAGCTCAAAGGAGGAGCAATGTTTGCCGTCTCCAACATGTGAGTCCCTGTTTCACTCCCTGCTACCCTCCCTGCTACAGCCCCTGTTACACTCCCTGTTAGAGCCCCTGTTACACTCCCTGCTACAGCCCCTGCTAAAGTCCCTGCTACAGCCTGTGTTAAACTCCCTGCTACAGCCCCGGTTACAGCCCCTGTTACAATCCCTGTTACACTTTTTGTTACAGCTGCAATGCAAATGTCTCAATCCTCGTTCTCACAAGCCAATCTTCCTTCTCTTAAAATCTCACCATCCACGCACACAGATCTCAACCCCACTGCCTCATTTCTCCCTCCTCCCTCCCTCCTCCCTCGCAGCAACCGCAAGTGCAAGCTAGACGTGAGCATCGTGGTGGTCTCCCCAGACGCCCCCAAGCCATCCGCAACCCTCTCTGTCACCGACCCTGCTTCAGCCGACACCACCGACTTTTCCCTTCCTTGCGCGTGGACCCAGCCCCGTCCCGGCGTGTGGCTGTGCGAGTGGCTTGATAACTTCCCAAGCGTGTCGGGTGCTGCTGCTGGCACTGCAGACGCTGCTTACGCAGCTGCTGCCAGCATGCGTGCCGCGGCCCTGCCAGGCTCGGCGGTGGAATCTGTGTTTAAGCTGACTGTGGAGTCGGACGCAGGGGACGCTGCTCAAGGCACGCTGCGCTACGCTCTCTGAATGAAGGAGACTGAAAAGCTGCTCTGGTTATAATGAAGAGAAGCTGCGGTAGAGGCAGTGAAACAGGGGGCTTACTGCTTCCTTCCTAAAGAGGTTGCACTGCCTTTGTTCCCCTCGCCCCCTCCCTCCCTCGCTCCCTCCCTCCCCCTCTCTCCGACCACCCAGCAATTTTAGCTCTCTCACCTCGCTGCGTGCGTCTATCCTCTTTCGATGTTGGTGTATGTACCTCTACCTTGTAAGCTGCCCTGGAATGCTAGTTACACGCTGGGACCTGGAACCGGTGCTGTACTATGTGACATGATTCCTCTGCAGCCATAGTTGAGAGAACCGCTGAACATTGAACTTGTAGGTACCCTGCAAGTTTTTGGCTTCACCTCTCACCAAGAAAGTGCTGCAATGCTTACAAGCAAGCAACGACTACACACCATGCAGAACGGCACTGCAAGCCAGCACATCCAAGCAGCTGAACCTTGGTCCTATTCTCTAGCTTTAACCCAGCAATGTCTCTTCTGAGTGAACATGGTTTGCTGCCATCAATCGCTTCCATTGTTGCATAGGCTCCAATTTGATCATGTGGTTATACAAACACAATCGTAATAGGATATTTGCAGTCTGAAGCCCTGCCCAATATCATCTTGAGTTGTCAAACCATGCGTGGCTTTGATCGATTGGCATATAATATCTTTTAGTGGTTGGTCACGCTTTCTTTCACACTTGCTATTTCATGCCTCTTAGTGCAATCCTCTCTATAGCCTTTTCATTTGATGATGTGACATGTTTGGTGCGTTACGCAAATGTACCTGCCAGATCATACCAGCCGGCTCTATGCGACTGGCTACAAGAGATCTGACACAAAACTGCTGATGTCCTCATTGGGACCCCATGTCCGTGTTGCAGATAGGACGACAGGTGCACCTCTGCTGTTCGACGCCGAGTTTCTGGAGGGATAAAATTGCTCACGCAGCAGAAGCTGATCTGTACACGTGTCACGCCATTCTGGTCTCTCAAAAGGTTGAACCTCCGCGTTCGACGCTCAAGCACGGCCGCATTCCACGGGTTTCCTTGAGTTCCGGTTTGTGCGTTCTTGCCTTTCCGTTGGTGCACTCTGCCCCAACGCGTTTTTGCTAGCGACAACTGCGGCTTTCCACCCTTGGCTCACTCTGGTTGGCTGGCGCTGCAATCGGGCTTCTAGCCGGCTCCCAAAACGTGCTGTGTACACGCACACACCAGCTTCCCCGTTAGCAGAACAAATATCCCGGATGATATAAGAGTTTCAGGAGCACTACACCTAAAGATGTACCTGCTGGGCAGATATTGTTACAGTACAGTGCAACCATATTCTTTGCTGTGCAAGCAAAGGCACAAAAAACTGTGGAAATAGTCCTGGCCGTGTTCAATAAATGTTTGACTCTCAACTGACTGGATCGACCAGTCACATCACTCCATCCCCAAGCTTTGTCAGCTCAGCACTGTTGGCTTTCCCCTTCTGCACTCGGCAGAAGGAAACATCAGTTCGATGGGCAGCATTTTTCAACACGGAGGGGGGATGAAGCGACAATGCCATGTCCCCCAAGCCCGACCTGTGCGGAAAATATTCCATGATGCCCCCAGTGTTTCCCGTCGCCGACTTACCCGAGCCAGACCCGAACCTGCCTCGAGTCAAATCCCCATCTCTTTCCAGCTCACGCCCCTAACGAAGCCGAGTGCCCTTACGCCATCTGTCGATCTCCTTACCTGGCCAAGGTTATCGCGTCACATCCCTGCCGAACCTCTCCCATGCCACCCAACCAAACCACACGTGGTGCCCAGCACATTCATCCTCACCCCATCAGCACAGCCACCTCGGCTCCCCTTGCTGAGGCGCTGATAAGAAGGGACGGTTGTTACACACACAGCCCATGTTATGTCGTGGTTTGGGAATTCGCGCCTCACTGGAACTTTTTCTGTTCCCATCCCTCCACCCTCCCTCTCACGTGACCAAATTCACCACCTTTCTGGAAAAAGTTTGCATTGATCACCTGTGGAGCTTCTGCTCCCCAGGAGAAAAAGGCTACTACCCTCTTTCTGTCTCTGTGGATTCCCGCCCTTCCGTTTCTACACATTTCCAACGGATCGCGCAGCTCACCTCCAGTCGGATCTGGCTTGTTCGGGTTGTTGCACCATCAGATTCTACAAATGCCTGCTCCCTTTCTTGGCGCGAATCGCGGCTGATCTCCTGCCATTGCAGAAACGTCGCAAAGTGGATTCACCCAAGACTATGCACCTGCGACGTTCTGCCACTGTTACACCTCCGCAAAAGAAATTCGCCTTTTAACTTCCAAGTACTTTTACGCGAGAAGATTGCCGAAAAGAATCGCAAAAGAAGTTCGCCTTCTACTATGGCCCTTCAGTTTATGCCAATGGACATACCGGCAACTGCAATGGAGCCCTCCGTGTTTCGCGCTGCCGATCTCGCCCCCACGACGCCCGGCGGAAAGGCCCCTTCGACCGGCCCCGCATTTCCGCCCAAGGCCAAATTTCGTGGCGGAAACACCAACCCGGCGGCGAAGAATCACCAAGCTTCGCGAAGCTCGCCGAAATTCGCGAATCTGCAGCCACCAGCGTGCGGATTTTCGGACGACTCTGGCGACGGACTGAAGCCAGAAGTCGACGACCCGCAATGTCGCCAAGTTAATATCCTTCCGCCAAATACTCCGCTCGCCACGAACGCCGCGGCGCTTAGCACACCCAAGAAATGCGGCGGCAAAGGCGGCGGCAGAGGCCGCGGGAAGGGAAAAGGCGGAGAGAGTTTTTCGCAGTCAAGCGGAGCAAGCGGGGTCGAGATTGCGGGGAATGCGCACGCGCTCTTCACCCAGTCCCCCGCGATTCAACCGCGCTGCTTCCCGCCAACGCTTAGCATCCCGCCGCCCCCGCAGCTGTTTCCCCCCGGCTCCCCTTCCGCGGCTGGCGGAGCCCCGCACCTGCAGGCGCCCGGCACCCCCTGCGCGGGGATGGTCCGCGCGCCTTCCCACCGCTTCCCCGCGTCGTCGACCGTCAACACCGCCGTCAGCGGGGGGAGCGGGTGGAGCGGCGGAGCGCATCCCGCGGAGGCAATGAAGAGGAAGCGCCCGCGGTTCGCGGAGGATCAGCTAGCGCATTTGGAGGCGCATTTCGCGGTGGAGCAGGAGCTTACCCCGGCGAGCAAGAAGCAGCTGGCGGCGCGGCTCGGCGTGAAGCCTCGACAGGTGTGCGTGTGGTTCCAGAACCGCAAAGTGCGGCAGAGAACGCGGGAGCGCGAGACGGAGCTGGAGAGCATGCAAGCGGCGTACGCCAAGCTTCAGGCGACGTGCCGCGAGCTGCAAGACGACTACGAGCTTCTGAAATCGGACTACCAGGAGTTGTTGCTGCAGAACACACAGCTTTTTGACATGGTGAGTTGCTCGTGGGTGCGCGTGAGTGCGCGCGCGTGGGTGCGCGCGCGTGGGTGCTGGATTCAGGGGAGGATGAGGAACGAGGGGGGTGGGCGGCGGGGATTCGGGAATGGGGATTGCAGAAATGTTGGTGATGATGCACCCAACCTTTTGTGCAACAAAATCTTCCAACCTTTTGCGTGACACAAATTTCTAACAGATTTCCTTGTATCGCACTTGCTTTCGTCCGTGCAGATGCAGGAAATCGAGCAGCAGCTGGGGAACCCGCAGCTTCCGCCCGGCGATCACCCCGTCACGTCGCGATTCAATGACACCACCACCCCAGACAACCAGCCTGGCGGCTCCGCGCAGTCGGACCGCGGTGGGCAGTCAAACCAATCTGAGGAGGAAGTGGAAATTCCGTCTGCCCGGCTCCAGCCCCTTCATCAGCAGCAGCAGCAGCGGCGGCAGCGGCAGCAGCAACTCGCTGCTGATCGCCGTGAAAAGGACATGCAGCAGCAGCAGCTTGCGGCGGCGGCGGCGGCGGCGCCAGCGGGTGAGGCGGAGGAGGAGGAAGAGGACGACGGGGAGGACGACGAGGAGGAAGAAGAGAAGATGGAAGAACCTGGGCCTTGCGCTACGCCGTTCAACAAGGGGATTTGCTTCCTGACCCAGGAAGCTGGGGATATTTCCAGTTTTACCCCAAGCCCACCTTCTGGTAACCAGCTCCACATTCAGGCCAAGTCTCATGCCAATCAGGAGAAGCCCGCGTCGTACCAGAGCAACTCGCCTGATTCGTCTTTGGACGAAATCGGCGGCGCGCCGTTCGCGCTCCCCCCTCCCGCCTTCCCCATGGGAGCTGCGCCAACCTCAGCCGTGTCACAGCCTGCCCCCCCTCCGCTCTTCGAGCCCCTCACAACTATCGCCAACGCTGGTAGCCGCGTGGGGGAATCTGAGCATTTCGTCGTCCCCTCCAACCAGCAGCAGGGTCCCGATCTTTATGATTTCTATTCCCACGCTCCCGCTAGCGGCGCCGGCGGCGCCGGCTTTTTGGACGGCTGGATGGACGGCGACGCGACGGCGATGCAGCAGTCTGCCGGCTTACCGTACGGCCTGACGGCAAAGGCTCCGGCGGAGGCGGAGGCGGAAGATGGGGAGAGCGATTTTGAGGCTGCGAGGAGAAATGTTAAGGCGGGAACAGCAGTGCATGGCGGGAGGAATGCGGCTGAGACGTTCGCTGCGTTTGCACCCAGCGGCGAGTTTGAGGAGAATGGCTTAGTACCTCTTGACGGGTTCTGCTCGTGGAAAGAGGCGGTTGGTGCGGAAGAGGCGGAACGGCGATGCGCGGGTGGGGAATGCGCGGGCGCAACGGCGGATATGAGCGGAAGCATGAGGGTGAACCAGGAGCCGTTCGATCTTCTGGGAAGCATGGAAGGCGCGATGGGAGCGATGGGGTGTGCCGAGGATGGCGGCGCGGGCGCTGGTGTTGCTGCTGCGGACGACATCGCTAGCATGTGCGGGTTTGACATGCAGGCTTTCGCGGCTTTCTGAAACGAATTTTCTACAGCGACTTTTTGCACGCGTTTGCTGGTGTTTTTTAAGCGGCTTGTTTTTTCGCGCGCCGCGTTTCTGGGAGTTATGAGGCGGCGCTCTGCAGCACGTGCGCTTGCGGCTTTCACGGAGCCGACCACAAATCGACGATGCCGCGCGTGAAGCGAATCGTGATGATGTTCCGCGCGGAGACAAACACGACGGGAGCAGGGAGGGCGGACTGCGACGTACGCGATCTCATGCGACATAATATGAAAAGTCGAACGGTTTCGTATACCAGTTTGCAACACGCGACGTGGGCTGAGCACCGCACCGCACCGCTGATGCACGAAGCCTAACCAAGCCGTTGAAGAGTTTCAGAGCATGCGAAACTGCATGTTGTGCGAATGTCGTGGGCCCCATTCCCAGCGCCAAACCTGGTTACGGTTGGCTTATGGTAACTATGCGACGGGGCAGGACAACTTTGTTGAATAACGTGAAATAACTTACCTCTAAAGAGGAACACTGCTTTCCTTAGCTTAGCTATGGTGAGCTATTTCCATACTTTCGACTTGCTTACTCTAGTTTGCTAATGTGAGTTGCTCCTTCAAATGTATGTCTATGTTGTAACTTATTTTGTGCTCTGGTTTGCAATTCACACTTCATTGTTGACAAAATAAACACACATTCACCACTATTCCTGAGTAAAACGAACGCCAATATCTCCTTGGCCTGGAGAGAAGAGAGCACATGCTTCTTGCATGGCTCGACAACTTTCCCATGGCACAATATGGGACTTCAAATGGATTGTTAGTTACTGAAGAATATGGTAACTGAATAACTGTTTAGTAACACCTTCAAAATGTCTGATGATTGAACGGCTGGCGGGCAGTGCGGTCAGCCACAGGATGTGCCCGTGTTCAAACGCACAAGGGACAAGGTTGTTTATTGGGATAAGCAAATCCATAGGCTAAGGTTTGTAGCTGTACAAAGTGTACGCGCATCTTCGTTTCCAACCCAAGCCCAACCCCAGATTTTGCATCCTCGCACTCAGTATTTGAAATTTTGAGCAGCCTTTCGTAATCCCCTCTGCTTAGACAGGTACAGCTTATATCGCCTGCACCTGCTGCTTCTACTCCCACCACCCACACACTCACCACAAGGACCATTCTTCTGCTCGGAAAATTCCATACTCCCACCAGAAAAGCCACCAGCAGCACCATAGCGACCAGCAGCAGCAGGGGTATGCGTGGCTGAGACTCGGCGCTTAGTTAAAAGGCCAGGTGGCAGCTATTTTTTAATCAGGGTGCAGAAGCAGCGCCTGAACTTGGCCTGGGTGTGTGTGATGGGGGGGAGGGTGGCATCATCGGCCACGTCAAGCTCCTGCGGTTGTGTGGGGTGACAAGGAGTTCGATGGGGAAACAAGGGGTCAGATTAGGTCAGCTCCTGTGGGTGATGGGGGGAAGTGAGGCATCATCAGCTTCTGTGTTCGTGTGTGTGGGGTAACAAGTGGTAACATGCGGTCGTTATGCAGTCGGAAGGATTTAGAGTGGGAAAATGAGGGGTATTTGTGTGACGCCGTAGTATATGGTGTGATGGGGGGCGGAGATGGCATCATCAGCAAAGTCCAGAAAGACGCAGCTCACACTTACTTGAAAGAGATGCTTAATCTGCTTTAGCAGTGGAACCAGGTGCGCAGTTTCGGGAGCAGTTGTGGCGATTACGGCCACACTCGAAGCCGAAGCGGCGTGCGTTGGGGCGTAGAAAGCAGCATGGGCAGCGTCGATTAGAAGAAGAAGGGACTCCTGAAACCGACGGCGCAAGCCAAAAGCTAAAAGCACATTGCTCCTGGGCGGGTGAGTGAGAGGAAAACATAAGAAGGGGATGAGAGTGCCACGTGTTGGTGTGTAGAAAGCAGTGTGAGCGGCGTCGATGAGAAGAAAAAGAGACTCTTGAAACTGACGACGCAGGCCAAAGGCTAAAAGAACATCGATCCTGGAAGGGTGAGAATGTAACAAAGGAGAAGGGACCAGATACGAGGGACGGGAGTTACAGAGGTGGGATCAAGGATAGTAGGAATTAGTTGGGTGGAAATATGATTAAATGTGGGAAGGACTGATGTAGACTGTGTTTCTTGAAGCTAACTGTGAAAAAAGTCTGTTTACCTGAAGCTGATAACCCCCTTGTCATAGACAGTTGGTGTGGCAGAGTGATGATTTGACCTGGAAAGAAAGGGAAGGAAGGGTCGTGGGGCAGAGGGAGTAGAAGAAATAGAGAGAATTACAGTGACGAAAGAGACAAGGAAAAGAAAAAAGGAAAGAAAAGAAAAGAAAAGGGAAGATTTGAAAGAGCATCCTCCATCGGGCTCATTCAACACCTATGTGCACTTCATTGAAACTATCCCACCTCGCTTCAGCCTCACCTCACCTCACCTCACCTCACCTCACCTCACCTCACCTCACCTCACCTCACCTCACCTCACCTCACCTCACTTCACCGCACCTCACCTGGCGCGTTCAATCATCACTTCAAACTGCAGGTTGGGGCAATGCAGCGCCACCAGCTTCAACCACCGCCGGTACACCCCCCACCGCTGCAGCACCCTCCGCCACAACCCCACTGCTGCTCCCAGCTTCTCTCCCTCCCTTGAAACAGCAGCAGATGCAACACCATCAACACCCCTATCGCCCACTCCTAACAGATGGCTTCGTGTGCAAATCGTTTCTTCCTCACGTCCTTCCCTTTTCGCCTCAAACGCCGGCTCCTTCTTTTGGGGGTCTTCGCTTGAGATCTTTGAACCACCTTCCTGCCTCACCTCCTTTCCTTCTTTCTTTGTCCTCGTGCATCTGGCATCACTCTCACCTTTCTCCTCCTCCACTTCCTTGCCTTCTCCCCCACCTCCTCGTTTCCTCTTGCCCCCCACCAGCAACCGACCCACTTTCTCTGCATCCTCGATTGCCCACTCCCTATCCCACTCCTCCCACTCCTCCTCCTTCCTCACTCCCTCTCCTGCGTTCCCTCCTGCTCCCTCCCCTCTTTCTCTTTCCTCCCCCTTTCCTCCTCCTCCTCCTCCTCCTCCTCCTCCTCCTCCTCCTCCTCCTCCTCCTCCTCCTCCTCCTCCTCCTCCTCCTCCTCCTCCTCCTCCTCCTCCTCCTCCCCTTCCTCCCTCCCTTCCTCCTACCAATGCTCCACCAAATCTGTCAAGAACTCCTTCATACTCCTCTCCATCCCTCTCTACAGCCTTCTCCTCCTCCTTGCTCCTCCCCTCTCTCCTCACTACCCACTCTCTTTCTCTCCACTCATCTCCCTCCCTGTCTGCCCCCAGGGAACCCTTCTCTCCCACCCTCATCCCATCCGCTCCCCCATACCCATCCTCACACCTGTCCTCTTTCCCCTCGCCTCCCCATCCACCCCCCACCTCCCACGCAGTTCTTTCCGCTCTACTTCCAAACACCACAGACAGCCCCTCATAAGCCACGGCCCAGTTAAAGCTAGTAAGCTTCTTCACTGCCCGCCTTACCGCGTCCGAATCACATGCCTGCACCGTGGCTAAATCCATTTCATCCTCCTCTTGAGCTGCTGCTCTATCTCCCTCTCTTGCATCTGAATCCTCCCCTCTCTCATCCGTGTCCTCTTCCTCTTCTTCCTCTTCTTCCTCTTCTTCCTCCTCTTCCTCTGCTTTCTCTTCCTCTTCTTCCTCTTCTTCCTCTTCCTTCTCTTTCTCCTCCTCTTCTTCCTCCTCATCCTCTTCTCCCTCTTCTTCCTGTTGCTCTTCATCCCTTTCCTCTCCCTCCTCCACCTCCTCCACTTCCTTCGCACCACCAGCAGGCAGGGGAGAAAAGGGCAGCAACGACAGCAGGGGGTAGGCCAACAGAGCCTCCGCCAGAAGGGACGCTGCTGCCACTGCTGCTTCATGTGCTGCCTCTTCTGCTACTGCCTGTGAGAAATGTGCAGTTGCTCCTGTGCCTGATACCTTTGTTTCTGCCTCTGCTGCATTCCCTGATGCTGCTGCCGCTGATGCTGCTGCTGCCACTGCTGCTTCGTGTGCTGCCTCTTCTGCTACAGCCTGTGAGAAATGCACTCCTGCTGCTGTGCCTGCTTCGTTTGCTTCTGCCTCTGCCTCTGCCTCTGCCTCTGCCTCTGCCGCCGCCTCGTCTAAGTTCGTCTCTGGTGCTGCTGCAGCTGCTGCTTCTCCTGCTGCCTCTTCTGCTACTGCACGTGAGAAACGCACTGTTGAAGCAGTGCCTGGTGTTGCGGTGTCTGCTGCTGTAGCCGCAGCTGCTGTAGCCGCTGCTTTTGCAGCCACATTTGAACCACCTGAACAACCGCCTACTAACTGTGCCTCTGTTACTTCTTCCCGTGCTGCTACATCCTGTGATGCAGATTCTGAACGCCCCTCCCTCCTCTTCCTGTCCCCTCTCCCTCCACAACCCCTGCTTACACTCCAAATCAATCTCCTTTTCTTATCTAAAACACTTCCTCTCCCCTTGTGCCTCCTACTCCCATCTTCCTTCTCCTCTCCTTCAAACTCCCTCACACTACCAATCGCCCCCCTCCTCTTCCTCCTCCCCCCTTCGCTACTTTCCCCCGCTGCCCCTTTCACTACTTGAGAATCCCCTACACGATCCTTCCCCTCCAACCCCAACTGCGCTTGCTGCTTCTTCTTCTCCTCCCGCCACCACCTATCCATCTCATCATGCCACCATCGGTCCAGGGTAGATTGCAGAAAATCAAAAGCAGGTGACAGCACCGGTAGTTTTTCTCGTATGCGCGAGGACAGCACGAGAGGCTTGAAGAGATAGTGCCTGTAGGGGCCGAAATTGAAGGGAAATTGACTTTTTGGTAAATAAACCTTCTCCTCACCAGTCCACTACCTATCCATTTCATCCCCCCACCACCTATCCATTTCATCATGCCACCATCGGTCCAGGGTGAATTGCAGGAAGTCAAACGAAGGAGACAGCAATGGTAGCTTCTCCTGTATGCGTGAGGACAGGATGAGAGACTTGAAAAGAGTGTTCCTGTAGAGGAAAAAGTAGAAACGAAATGAAAGGTTGCTGAAAACAGAAGACCCCATTCTCATTGGCCCACCACATATCCTTGTCACCGTTTCACCACTTGTCCATCTCATCATGCCACCACCTATCCAGGGTAGATTGCAGAAAGTCAAATGCGGGTGACAGCACTGGTAGCTGCTCCCGTATGCGTGCCGACAGCTCCACACCAGTGCTCCTTGCACATAAGAGCCGTGCGATGCATGTACAATGCAAACTCACATGGGTACGCGGGCTTGTTGTTGCTGCAGCAGCAACAGATGCTGCTGCCACCACGCAATGCCTGCACCGCCTTCCTCCCTGCACCCCCCATCCCCCACACCAGTGATTGTTGCCAGACCTCCTATCGCCTGCCCACTTATCGCCTGCCCACTTGTCGCCTGCCCGCTTATCACCTGCCCGCTAATCACCTGCCCGCTCATCGGTTGCCCACTTATCGCCTGCCCGCCTATCGTCTGCCCGCTTATCGCCTGCCCACTTACCGCCTGCCCGCTTATTGCCTGCCCGCTTATCGCCTGTCCGCTAATCACCTGCCCGCTCATCGGTTGCTCACTTATCGCCTGCCTGCTTATCGCCTGCCCGCTTATCGCCTGCCCGCTTATCGCCTGCCCGCCTATCGCCTGCCCGCTTATCGCCTGCCCGCTTATTGCCTGTCCGCTTATCACAGCCCTCAAGCCTGCAAACGTCTTGCGTGCCCTGGGCAGCTTAATGTCGCCCTGTCTGCTTGCCTCTGCTGCTGCTGCCGCCCAGATTTCATCTCTGTCTAGTTGATCCCGTACGGTTTTAGATGTAACCCTGGGACAGATGGGACAGAGGGGGAGCGCGAGGGTATATATAATATGGCAAAGCATGGAAGAAAAGTCAAATGCTTAGCTAAATGTGCACTTTTAAGGAACTCCAGAAATGCTAAAGTAAGTAGGTGCAGAAGCTTTGATTCTCCAGGCCAGGACTTACCTAAGCTGGCAGAAATCATGAAGAAACCGAAATACTTACCTAAGTGTGCATAAGTCTCGCCAGGATACCCTTGAACAGAGCATGGTCAAAATCTCCTGAGGCAAAGAGAGGATTGGAACCCTGTCCCCTAGCTCTACACCCATCCACACTCTCTCCCTCTCCTCCCTCTCCTCCCTCTCCTCCCTCTCCTCCGCCTCTTCCCTCTCCTCTTCCCCCTCCAAATCTTGATGATTCTTTTCCTCTCTCCCCTCCTGACCAGGTTGATTTCTCCTCTTTCGCTTTTCTCCCCTTCGGTTCTTTTCTCCCCTCCGTCCCCCGCTCGCGCTGTCCATCACGACCGTCGATTCCTTCGCGCGGCTGATCTCGACCGCCCATCCTGGAAACGCGAAGGAGATCTTCGGACGGTCCAGATTCGCGGAGGACGCGTCGCGGGATGCGGAGAAGGACGAATCGGAGAGGAAAGGTTTTGCTAGTGCTGCCGCTGCTGTGGGATTCTCGATAGCCGCAATAGCGCCAGCAACGGAAACAGCAGCAGCGAGAGTCGAACCACCACCAGTACCAGAACCGGGAAATATCTCCTTCGTTTCACTCTTAGCAGCCGCAGTAAATACTGGCGTGTCCTGCACGCAACGACCCCCCTCCGCTACAATCACGCTGCCGTCACGCCGAGGTGATAGCTCAAGCGAGGTGTACGTTGCGTGCAGCGGCTGCGAGTCGCGGAATTCGAGGAATTCGCGCCCCGCAGAGCTGGTCGCGACGCGACACGACGCGGTTGGGTTGCTGACAGCGGCTGGACTGAAATTTGCGACGGCTAGCTTTTCGCGACAGTGCTCCTGAAACGACGACTCCAAAAGATCGTCCAACGCGTCGTCATCGTTATCGTCGTCGTTACCGTCTTCGCGAACGTCGCACACATTGTCGCCGTTCGTGACATCTTCGAACCCAGCACCGTGACCGTCTCGTCCTGCTTCCATCACGAAACGGCGCCGCTAAGACTATTTGCCTGTGATTGTCTACAAAGCTGTAGTATAAAGCTCCCGTGCTGGTCATGAAGGGCTGTGTCGTTGTTGGCTTGTAGGCTGCACAAGATCTTCAGCAAAGCGAGACTCGATTCAAACAAGCTCTCAAAGTTCCATTTCCATTTCCACCTACCATCCATCTCTTTGAGCACATACAATCTCAGCCTAGAACCTGGTCATAATTGAACCAAATATCAGGTTAATAATCTAAGCTTGTAATTATCACAAGTTCCTTCACTGCAATCTATATTATAATCAATACTCTATTATGGTACTATCTATTACAATGTAGCATAATTACGCAAGGAAAAGGAGTGGAAACGGGAAGAGAGGAGAAAAGGAGGAATAACGTGAGTAGAAAAAAGGAGAGAGGAAGAAAGGAGGAGGGGAATAGGGGAAAAATGATAGGAGGAAGAAAAACAGGGAAGAAGGAAGAAAAAGCAGCACACACAACCCCAAGAAAACCCCAATAGCACACACATTTAAAACACCATCAAGCCCTCCCATCAAAGCACCCCAACTGCACTCCCATCGAACCAAACCTCCCCCCCTAAACCCACTTTCTAAACCCGCATGTCTACCAAGTATGGTGCATCCGCCCACGGAGCATCCCATCCCATCTCCTCCTCAACATCCTCCCGCTCCACCCAAACAGCCTCTGGGCCTCTCATCATCGACGCAGCGCGTAACAAGATCACACGCGCCTGAGCCCGTTGCAAAGCCACACCCACAGCCGCTTTGAGCGATCCGAGCAAATAAGCCGAGAAACCCTTTCCCGTAGCTCGCGCCGCCCCTTTCGTCTTTGCTATCTCGATCTGCGCGTCACCCTGCTTCTTAAGCCACCGTCCAAAACTCCCCCCCAAGCATCCCCATGTCTCAGCAATGAGTGGTGTGAACTGCACTCCCCCATGCCGCTGTAGAAGCGATTTGTAGTCCGCCGTCTTCCGCTTTTCTCTCTCTCTCGCGGCAAAACCCACCTTGCGACCAATCTGTCCATGGTGCTGCGCGGATAGCGAGATAGGATCTACCACACTAACCTCCAGCGCGTGCTCCTCCCCCTCCCTCAGTTTCCGAACCGCCACATCAACCCTCTTCCCTGGGAGCAACGTGTCGTCTTCCATGGTCACAATCCCACCCGCACCCTTAGCTATCTTCGCCACCACAAATTTAACCGCATCGTGAACCCGAGAAGGTGCATACTGATACTTGCAGCGAAGGGCATGATGCGGGTCAGAGGGATCAGCAAACTCAAACCCACACGCGCACTTGCCGGCCACTATCAGCTGCTGAATAGGGAGGCCTAGGCGCATGGACGCGCAGATGCTCCACTCGGCTGCGGTGAAGGTAGCCTCCTCGTGCGAAGGAACGGCAGAAACCCACGCCCCAGCCCCCGGGCCCTGAAGGGATGTCAAACGGGCCAGGGTGGCATCGTTGTGGGCCATGCCTCGAAGAGATTGGAGGCTCTCAACCGCCAGGCGACGGTGTTGTGTGGGGAAGAGCAGCATAGGCGGATCAGCGGTGCACAAGGCAAGGGGTGGCATCTCCTGCCGAACCGACTGTGGAAGCAGATCCACTGCTCTCGCAAACCAGGGGTCCAACAAGGTCGTAGCCTCGGGCGTGCGGAAAAACTCCTCAAACATCCGCTCCTCACCTGCCACCCCCAACCGAGCCACATCGCTCACTGCTTGGCACCAGCCACATGCATACGACAGAGGACTAAGGTCAGCCGCAGATCGAATGCCGAACCCCCCGAGTCTGGCAGGAAGGTGCAGCTGTAAACGAGCCATCTGGGACTTCCCCGAATCGTGATCCCAGGTACTATCTGGAAACAGCTCCTCGAAACAATCTTCCAGCTTCGTGTCCCAGTCCCGAAAAGCCTCCACAACCTCAGGTCGTGGAGGCATCGTCCGTGTGAGGTAGATCGGGCGCGCCGACACTGCGATCGCCAACAAATGGGACGCAATCTGTGGGTGGTCAAGCAGAGGAAGCCAGGGGACAGGTGCATGCAGCTCCGTCAGCCGGCGACGCAGGCTAGCCACCTCCCAGTCCTCCTCCCCAATGGGCACCCCTACCACAGTGAGCCCCGTCCATGTCTGCTGCATGCCGGGCGGGACAGTCTCATTTCTCTCCTCCCCATCCTGGTCCCTCCCTCGCTCCCATAGCTTACACTTATGCGGCTGCACCTCCAAACCCAGCCCGTCCAGTCGTTCCCGCAAGGCCTCATAGGCTGCTAGAACCCGTTCCCTAGGCCCCAGGATATACGTATCGTCAGCATAGCTGAGGAAGAGTAAGTCGGCGTACTCCATTTTGGTTGGTTCCATAACCAGCTGCTGTGTGAACGCGAACAGAAACGGACCCAATGGATCCCCTTGCCTCGAGCCCCGCTCGGAAGCCAAAGCTTCGACAAAAGGGCCCGCTCGGAGATAGAGGTCGCTAGGAGTGCCGTAGAAGACACGCAGAAATGGAATCAATCCCTTGAAAGGCGACTGTCGAAGACCCTCAAACATTTCCCGCCGATGGAAGGAGTTGAAAGCGTTCGCCACGTCAATTTGCAGCGCACACCACGACGGGTGAGTAGAGATGGCGGAGCGAAAGGCATGTGCGAGGACTTCCACTCCCGACCTGGACCCGACTCCAAACTGGTTACACGGAGCAAAGTGCGACATCATCTTCGGGCGAAGCACGATGCATATGGCCCGAGATAGTATGCGGGGGAGCACCTCGCCTATAGCCACCGGGCGAACGTCACCATTCGGCTTCGACAGGCCCACCAAGTTGGACGCAGTGAGCCAGGGTCGCACGCGCTCCGCTACCTCTCCCTTGGTCCACTGGGTGAAGACCTCTAGCAGGTGGGACAGATACGCGGGCTCAGAGAGAAAAGTGTCGCGCAGGTGCTCCGTCACCCACCCCGACGGTCCTGGTGCGGACGCCCTAGCCGCTGAGTGGATCGCCTGGCCGAGTACCTCCACTGAGAGCTGTGGGATAAGGGAAGGCTCGACTGTCTCCTCCTGCACCCACCCAGGAATGGCGGACTCGCACGATGGGTGTTTCGCTCGTAGCGCGTCCACCATGTGCTGAGAGGGCTGAGCGATGCTACCAGCCGTAAGGCACGCCAAACCCCGACTCCATTCTCCCACTTTGCACCTTGTACGGCAGCGGGATAGGCGCACGGCATCAGGATCATGCTCGGGTGGGGTGAAGGACAAGGGGCGAGCCGCAGGTTGCATCGCCGCCACCGCCAACTCAAACAGCTGCTGCCACTCCCCAGCCCAAAACTTCTCCAACCGCTCCCTAATTGCCGCCCTCTGCCCCTGGCCTTGCCCGGTTGGAATCCCCAAGAAAAGACGAGGGAAGGCCAAAAACACCAAGGATGCCGCCTCGTCTGCTGCCTTTGACTTGAGCCGCTTCAGGATACAAGCTAGTGCATCAAGCACCCCCAGTCTTGCGCGCTGTGGGATGCGACGCATGATTCTCCCTGGCACCAATTCGATCCCGAAAAACGACTCCCAGTCCCATGTGGGAACTGCGGCCCACACCTCTTCACTGATATCCCGTGGTGGCGGAGGTTCGCTGTCCGAGTCGTCTGTGACGTCGCGGGTCAACCCAAGCGCCTGTGCACGGCGCTTGGCGTCCGCTGCCCTGCAGGCCGACATATGACGCGTGGCCTTTCCTCTCTCCGTGAAAGTGCGATAACAGGTTTCGCACGGGATGCGGGGCGGGGGTGTCAGCATAGGGTCTGGGTGCTCCTCTCCACTCGAACACGCCGGCAAGACCTGTCTGCTCGACTCCATCTCCATCTCCCCCTCTGGCAGCCTCGCAAGCTGCACCCCATCGGGCAGCTCCTGCTGCCCTCCGCTCTGCAGCTGTTGCTGCCCTCCGCTCTGCAGCTGCTGCTGCCCTCCGCTCTGCAGCTGTTGCTGCCCTCCGCTCTGCAGCTGCTGCTGCCCTCCGCACTGCAGCTGCAGCTGCCCCCCACTCTGCAGCCGCTGCTGCCCTCCGCTCTGCAGCTGCTGCTGCCCTCCGCTCTGATTGGGCTGCTGCCCTCCACTCTGCAGCTGCTGCTGCCCTCCGCTCTGCAGCTGCTGCTGCCCTCCGCTCTGCAGCTGCTGCTGCCCTCCGCTCTGATTGGGCTGCTGCCCTCCACTCTGCAGCTGCTGCTGCCCTCCGCTCTGCAGCTGCTGCTGCCCTCCGCTCTGATTGGGCTGCTGCCCTCCGCCCTGCAGCTCATGCTGCCCTCCGCTCTGCAGCTGCTGCTGCCCTCCGCTCTGCAGTTGCTGCTGCCCTCCGCTCTGATTGGGCTGCTGCCCTCCGCTCTGCAGCTGCTGCTGCCCTCCGCTCTGATTGGGCTGCTGCCCTCCGCTCTGCAGCTGCTGCTGCCCTCCGCTCTGCAGCTCCTGCTGCCCTCCGCTCTGCAGCTGCTGCTGCCCTCCGCTCTGCAGCTGCTGCTGCCCTCCGCTCTGCAGCTGCTGCTGCCCTCCGCTCTGCAGTTGCTGCTGCCCTCCGCTCTGCAGCTGCTGCTGCCCTCCGCCCTGCAGCTCATGCTGCCCTCCGCTCTGCAGCTCATGCTGCCCTCCGCTCTGCAGCAGTTGCTGCTGCCCTCCGCTCTGCAGCTGCTGCTGCCCTCCGCTCTGCAGCTCCTGCTGCCCTCCGCTCTGCAGCTGCTGCTGCCCTCCGCCCTGCAGCTCATGCTGCCCTCCGCTCTGCAGCAGTTGCTGCTGCCCCCCACTCTGCAGCTGCTGCTGCCCTCCGCCCTGCAGCTCATGCTGCCCTCCGCTCTGCAGCTGCCGCTGCCCTCCGCTCTGATTGGGCTGCTGCCCTCCGCTCTGCAGCTGCTGCTGCCCTCCGCTCTGATTGGGCTGCTGCCCTCCGCTCTGCAGCTGCTGCTGCCCTCCGCTCTGCAGCTCCTGCTGCCCTCCGCTCTGCAGCTGCTGCTGCCCACCACTCTGATTGGGCTG